GCTTGCGACTATTATCAAATATACTTTTTTTAATCTTAACTCCTCACTGCTCATTTCTCATCCAATATTCCTCGACGTCAAAATCTACTTCTGCATAATATAAGGGTTGAAGAAGTGCAAAACAAATATGCTCAGCAGAAACCCTTATACTGGGGATTTTGAAATTTGGATTATTATTTTTATTTGGATCCCACTATTTAGAGTAGACAAAAGTGCTGATGAACATCCATCATGCTACTGCTGAGCATATTTGTTTTGCAAGGTTCTTCAATAGCATTCTGATTATGCAGAAGTAGATTTTGATGTCGAGGGATATTGGATGAGAAATGAGCAGTGATGAGTTGAGATTAGAAAAAGTATATTTGGAATAGTTGCAAGCAGAATTTGAGATTGTTGGTGGTTAGTTTCTCTATGTGGTACGCAGCTGTACCAATTGGAATGTGTGAGTTTTAACCACTGTCTGTGTACTCTCATTGTGTAATTCCAGATTAGGAACATCCGGCCGTCCCACGGGCGGGAATCGGTTTGCACAAAGGGGCCAATGTTCATGAGCATCCGCACTTGTTTGCGGTTGTTAACTTGGTCTTGTGCGGTATCAACCGCTACATTAAGTAAAAAAATAGTTACCTTGACCAATTTTCACACTTGTGTTGAGGTAATGGCAGAGTACATAGTTAACTATCTTCGAGGGATAATTTGTTTTCCACACTGGTTGATAGTAATCAAAGTTTACTACTGTTGTTCTCAAAAAGCTTGTCCAAGTTTGACCGCCAAATTGCTCGAGTTTTGCCGGAAAACTTGGACAAGCTTTTCAAGAACGACAGTAACTCAAAATATCCACCATCCACACATTTGCACAATCCCCCACCAAATCCACACAACTTTTTTTGATAAATCACAATGGTAAAGAGCACGTTCTTTTCAAGATACCTCAAGAGAGCACAAGAGTTTATTCAAGAGGACCTAGATGATTTGGATGAAGACCTCAGCTTAGAAGAGAACTGTGATGAACACCCAAAGAAAAAGAAAATTATGGTATAACACTGGGCAAATGTAGTATTTTTCCCAAGTGAAAAATGATTGACCTGAAGGACAAACAAAATTGAAAAAGGTGGAATTCTGCATTCATTCTTCATGTGCATTAACACTGCATTTTTCTGCATTGATGCTGCATTTTTTTTCATTAATGGCGCAAGAGTTTATTCAAGAGGACCTAGATGATTTGGATGAAGACCTCAGCTTAGAAGAGAACTGTGATGAACACCCAAAGAAAAAGAAAATTATGGTATAAAGGGATCAAGAAGAAGCCTATGCACAACTTTACAGAGACTACCTTGCCACAAACCCAAGATACAACGAAGAGACCTTCCAACGTCGATTTTGAATGCCCAGTGATATGTTCAAAGACATCTGCGCCCAGCTAGTACAGCATGATAAGTACTTGGAACAAAGACCTGTGAGCTTGATCGAGTTGCTTTGTTTTTTTTCACTCTCATTCATTCTTTCTTCAAATAGGATTGTACAGGACAATATGGTCTATCAACTGAGCAGAAAGTCAATGCCGCTCTCCGTCAGCTTGCGTATGGAGTACCTCCGGACACAACAGACAAGTATCTAAAGATAGCTGAAAGCACCTCTCTCAAAGCGCTGAAGAAATTTTGCTCAGCAATCATTGATATCTACGGTCTGGAATTTCTAAGACCCCCAAACAAGGAAGAGTTAGTGACTATTACAAAAGAATATGAAGAACGGGTATTTCCTGGTTGTAAGGGATCCATAGATGGAATGCATTGGGCATGGGAAAACTGTCACAGTGCTTGGCAAGGACGGTATCAAGGCAAGGAGAAATCACCGAGTATAGTACTAGAAGTGGTTGCTTCAAAAAGTTGCAGAATTTGGCACGCTTTTTTTGGATCACCTGGATCTCTCAATGATATCAATATCTTGAATTCAAGCCCTTTGTTTTCAAGATTTCTCTTGGGTGTGTTCATATTCATTCTTTTGATCAAAATGGTTAGGATTATATTTACATTTTGGTTCATGTATCTGCACAGGAACGGAAGACAATCTTCACTTTGAAATCAATGGAAATAGATACACACAAGGATATTATCTAGCTGATGCAACGCTGCCACAAATACGATACCGGTATCGGTATCGTAGCGGTATCGTACTTTTTCGGCCGGTATCGTATCTTCAGTATCAGTATCTGAAGTGCAATACGGTACTGGCCGAGGCTCCAGGTAGTATCGGGTAGAGCAATACTTTACTCAGTATCGTATTGTGTACCCGGTACGATACCGGCCCGGGACCCGGGGCAGTATCGGGGTATTGTCCCAGTATTGAGTATTGTTTAAACTAACTCCGATATCGGAGCTAAATGCCCTTCGTCTTGGCAGAATGACGTTCTCTGAACTAATCAAGCCATCTCGAACTTCTAGTCTCACCCCTCTGATCTGACACACTACCAATCCGACAGGTGTCACCTCCTTTCATTCGACATGCGACCAGCAAGCACTTGGACCAACCAATTCCTCCCTTATTTTCCTGATTGGGCCAACCTGTGGTCGGATAGCTTTGATAACTTTGATATGGTGAGGTCATTTCAACTTCGATCTTGAAGCCTTTTGTTGTTCTTCAATTGACACACTCTTACCGTTTAATCTCTTCATCCTTATTTTTCAGGAATCCCCTAATACTATGTCTTCTCATTCTGATCACGATGGAGAAACTACACCCCCTGCCTCAGCTCACCAATTCCCTTCTGATCAACTACCACCACCAATACAACCACCAATACTTCCCACTCCACATCGAAGTGCCCGAACTACCCCACTCCGCCATTCGTCTTCAATGGTAATCCCTCCGACTGATTCTCGGAAGGCTGTTCCAAGCGAATCTGAAGCCGAGTCCGAAGTCCAAGCTCCCAGAACGTCTTCCAAGCGTTCTCGAGTCGACTCTGAGGATGAATCAGACGTAGCCACTTTGAACCACGGTCATCCTTCAAAGAAATCAAAGACAAAGGCAGGTAGCTCACCAGCCACCACCTCGAAATCAAAAGCTACCATCTCAAAGTCGAAAGCTACCACCTCAAAATCGAAAGCTACCACCTCAAAAGCCACCACCTCAAAGTCGAAATCCACTACCTCAAAAGCTTCCACCTCAAAAGCCACCGCCGCGAGTCAAGTCAACAATACAAAGGTAACTCTTGAAATTTCTCATCAATCGAACCTGAAGGTATCATTACTGACTATTTTGCCTTGCCTTTCAAAGGGAAAAAAATTGCAGGTCGACTTGACCCGAGACTCTGAAGACAAACATTCCAAAGTCCAAGGACCGGCTAAGAAGCGTAAGAAGGAAGTCAAAGAAAAAAACAAAGTTGAAGAAAAAGATGCAGAAGAAGAAGAAGATCCTTACGATTACATCAAAGACTATTTTGAACCAATCCCTAAATGTGGTGGAAACAATGTAAGTTTTTTATTCACTGATAAATCTTTTGTCTTCAAATGTGATCTTTGAGAAAACTGACAAACATTAATATATGGTTCAGAAACCCGAAGGACCTTTCAACTCCTGGCCATGTAAGTATTGTGGCTTCCACGCTCGGTCTTCTGGTGGTTCACATTCGAATCTATATGCCCATCGAGATGGTTCCACCCAAGACGGTAAGTCTGGAAAACCTGGCTGCAAAGAAAGGGATCGGGCGATTGCAGAAGGTTGTATGCTTCCTCCCACGGTTCTCGAGAGACGCAAAGAGGAAGAGAAAGCAGTCCAGCCCTCGGTCAAATCCTTTGTTCAGAAGGTCACCACGTTTTCCAACCAGGTCTTGAACCAAATGGTTGGATTGTGGGCCATCCAAACCTCTCAACCTTGGTTACGAATCGAAGACCAGACCCTGCGAGCCTGCTTCTGATACGCAAATCCTCACGCTCACCTGTTTGGCCGTACCTGGCTTGCCAAATTTGCTCACCGGGTCTATATTGGTCAGCGAAAGACGGTTATATCTGATCTACAGGTAAGTCATTACTCATTCCTTCCTCCTTTCATTTATCCATTTCATTTATTTATTAATTCTTTTGTTTCTTTACTTCACTTACCTTCTTCATCAATGTAGGCTCTTGAGAGTAAATT